AGAGTTTATACACTGTTTAATGCAGAAATGTTACAGATAATAGCTTCAAAAGGATTTAGTTGAAGCTGAAATTCAAGGAGAGTTTCCCTGTCCTTGAAAGTCCTTTGTTCATACCAAGCAATATGTTTGTCACTTTCGCAACTTATGCCCCAAAACTAATCTGTAATATAACAAGTCAACTTGATCTTAACCCCTGTTCCCAGACCAGTTTTGAGGCTTCAAGTGGTTTGAACCTGAATCTCCCCATGTTACTGCAATAGTCCACATGCTTATATAACTGTCATATTCACACATTCAGCAGTGTTCATATTTTGAAACTCGCCTGAATGATAGGCTTTGTTGTGCGGCCATATCACCACACAACACAGTTTTGTGGTGTTCAAAAGGTCGACTCAGTCTTGATTGGTTGTCTTGCATCAGCCCCGTCAATACACAATAGTGTCTGTGTTTTGCTTATGTTATCTTAAGTGATGGCTGCAGAAAGAATGACTCAACTATGACTATGCAAATAATTATATAACAAACAGAGCGGGAGAGAATGTGTCAGTTCTTACAAACCGATGGTACACACTGTGGATTCCTCCTAGAGTTAAAGTTTTCTAAGTTTTTCTAAGTTTTCTCTTTTATATTTGTGCTCACTGTGTTGTTTGTTCAGGTCCTCCTCACCCTACATTTGTCAAGCATCCAAAGCAAAATGAGTAGTGTTATAAAAACAAACAAACAAAAATTATTTTTTGATTTACAATGTGTTATGTCAGCCATCAGATATATACAGTATATAAAGGGGGGGAAAAGCAAAAAGAAAAACGTACACATCCCCCAGGCTGCCCAACTGTTGTCCCTTACTATGTATACATTTACATTTATCATCACACGATTTGCAAAAAGACGTTAATCATTTTTAGGCCAAATGATGGTCTGCTAACATTTGCACTGTGTTCTCAGCCGGTCTGACCACCCAGTGGTGAAGCTCCTGAGGAAACACCAGTACCGGATTTACAACAGGCTCTACCCCATAGTCAGTAAAGGCCTCCCCCAGAGTCCCGCCTTATCCCTGAGGCCTTCTCGTAGCACTCACAACCTTCTTCATGCAGGTAGAGCAAGAGTTCTGGTATGGACAATGCATCCCTGCGGTTTTATGACCAATCCAACACTGAATGTTTTCTGTGATAATTCATCGATTTTTAAGTGTTAACAGTTGTTGTTTTTAGCAAGTTAGCAAGCAAGGTATGCCTTGGGTTGAGACATTTGACCAATCAGGGGCTGTGTTTCTGACTTGTACCTATAGGTCAAATCACTGTTAATCACTATCAGTGTGTATATGTGAAATATAGTGAAAGATTCCGAAAATATGATAAATAAATTTTATAAAAATGACCTCCTGCAGCTTTAATACAGTTGTTTATGTGAACATGTTATTAATCATACAGAGATCCAGAGGAAGCCCACCAGGAATGTAGGCAATAGCGTTGGTGGCCAGAGTTTCAGCGCCGGCTCATCCCCCTCATTCTCTCACGACCTCCACGCCAACTATGATGAAGAGGATGGGGACGAGCCTCACACACAGCTGACGGTGGATCGGGAGAACTCGTTTGAAGACCTGGAACAGTTCCTGACCCAGTTGGACTGGGCCCCGCCCCACGGCAGTGCAGATGACACTGGCTCAGATCTAGACACAACCTGTGATCCCTCGATGCAGCCGGAGCAGGAAGAAGGAAACATCCAGGAGCTGGAGATTAGAGCGTTGACGGAACACCTGAAGGCCGTTGTCAAGGACATCCATATTGCAATTGGTGAGCATGAGGATAGAGGGCGCTTGTGTTTTTGTTTGCATGCGTAGAAAGTGTCCTGTTGATTTTCAACAGCAACAATTTCCCGATGCTGTTGAAAATGGCAGAATTTTACATACAGTCTTTATATTTCAGATCAGCTTCTGTCACTGTGTTTGCTGTCCTTTGAGTGTCTAAACACAGCCAACTCTAAAGACCTGTGCCTCGCCAGCATAGAGGAAGCCTTCTTTACGCCCCTGTGGAGTGCCCTTGTGGCTCTTTTCAGGTAATGCAATCTAAATCCTTGTGACCTGAAACACTTCTTTATACTTTGAAGTGTTGTCTTAAACATGAAAGATTTATTCCTGCTTTTCCAAATTGAATACACTTTGCTTCAGTTGGACGAAGAGCTTGATTAGAATATTAGCTCACTTAACTCTGCGAAAGCACTTTCAATTAAACAGTTTTGTCTTAAGAGACCCCCCCTTTAACATTAGCACCCTTTTGCATGTGAATTGCTACTTAGATCTCCCTCAGTGTTAATTTTCCATCATTGTTAATGAAATTCAGCGAGTGATGGAGAATATTCAGTTATTGTGACCCCAGGCAAAGCCACAGCAGTATACCAAAAAGGAAACAACTGCACATTGAATATGTTTGAGTGAACCAATTCAGAAATGCATGTAAGTCAGCGGATCAGGCTATGTGGGTTGTTTTCAAATGAATTAGAGGAGTTCAGATAGTACTGGTAAAGGTTGTGTTACACTGCATTTAAAGCCAATGTTAAGGTTTGGCATGAAGTTTTTCTTAGAAATACAGCATGGGTGAAGGTCTGTCAGTGACCTGCATGTGGCAGTGCTACTCTGAGTATGTCAGCCTCTTCCATCTTCTATTGATGGCTTGACTCTCATTATACCAATAGAGGTTTGAAAATTATCAGTTGAGTTCCAAAGTTAATACTATGACCATTACTGACTTGTGCTGAATGTACACATACCTCTTTTCACATTATCCCAGGACATATTGCAATACTATTCGCAAATGTGCTATTTTCTGTATTTCATACTCTCAAAGAGGACCTCTTGGTTTCACATAGTATTTAGACATAAATACTGATGTTGGTAACTAAGAAGTGATTGGACTGGTTTTGTTCGGTCAGAGCCGATAGCGGACCATCTGAAATCAAAATGATGCCGTCAGTTACATGGGGGACAAATGAGACTGATAAGTTCACGAACTTATCAGTCTCATTCATTTACTTTTCACTGTTAAAGGCGTTTAAATGAAAAGTTTAGTTCTTCAGGCCAGAGTTGTGTTTTTAAGAAATGTTGATAAGGCAGGCAGGCTAGAGGTGTTTACAACAAACGACACTGGTTCAAGAACCAAAACTAATTTGGTGGAAAAGGGGGTCCTCTGTGGTCTTGCTCAATGCCCCGCCCACAGCACCATCGACTGGTTGCATGTCACAAGATCACACACTGGTAACGGTGGAGCTCATATTGATTACTTTATACTGCTGGGTAGATTAATCCATATTAATTGATTAGTTTTATATTTTGTATTAATAATGTCAATATGCAAAATGACTAATGTTATCAAATAAGTATAAAGTAGAATAAGTACCTCAAAAACTTCTAAATTTGGATGGAAGATTTTAGTTTTTACTACAAATATATATTGATTCCAATTATAGGTTATCGGTTTCTTTGATTACTAATATCCGTATTGGCCTTGAAGAAAATATCAATCCATCCCTACCACCTACGAAAACTTATTGTTATGGAACAAATACCCAAACCACTCGAAATTAGACCCCTGCACCCCCATGAGTTTTTTGTTTTGGTTTGTTCTTTTGTTTTTTAACGTCCT